TCCCTTTATTTTCAACAACTTTCCCACAATCGATGTCTTCCTGTACATTAAACCTCAAAAGAAAATGTCTTTTTCAGTCCTTTACCTGAAACTGTCTTTTACTTGAAATCTAACAAAAAGAGAATAGCTTTATCCCTATTAATTTTTCTTCTTCCCTCTTTACAAGTTTATTAGTTCTTCATAAAAAGTAGAGTTGATTAAATTGCTAACCAGAAATTCTATAAAGCAGGCGAGTATATACAAACAGAAGGAATAAAAAAATCCATATACATAATCACAAACAACAGCTGTTTCCAGAAAAACCTGAGCAATTATTTATGACATTATGTCTTCCTCAGTGCCTCTGTACACCGACACAGTCCCAGGAGGACCCGACTTTCTGATGAGCCTAAATTGCTGAATTAGAAGAGGAGACAATGTCACGGTACCAATTAGCGAAACCATTGCATATCATCTCAAAAACGCGTGTTTTCTGTTTTTATAACTGCACTTAACAAAGACATTCCTTCATCTTAAAAATGAAGGGGGCATCCCACCCATCAGAGCGTTGAGTGACTGGATACCCTTAAAGCAGTCGCGCTCACTTTTGCGTGAAGGCAGCAAGAGCGCGTTTCGGTGGAGGAACGGCACCTGATGAGGTACCCCTTCCAAACAAGTCCTCCAAACGGAGATCTCCCACGGTCGTGGACTGGGGAACACACGTCAGCTTCAGCGAGTACGTGGCTCCAGCTGGCCGGCGAGCTGATCTGGATCAAAATACTTAGCCCAGCGCCCATCTCCTATTGCTGGGGGATTACTGGGGCAGGATGACTCAAGACCACCCAACTGCAAAACCAGTCTTTTGCCAAGAGCTCGGTTCCTGAAGGACACTGACCACAGCTGGTCACCTCCACGTTTACACTCCAGTCATTTTTATTCCTGACGCAGCCTTCCTCAGGCTTTTACTACATGCAGTTACACGTGGTAGGACCATACCCTTCCAGTGGCAAACCAGCATCGTTCTCTTCCCAGGCGGCTGTTCTCTTACCCTCTCTTCCTTTTCCTCTGGCACCTCCCCAGCTCCCTCCTCTAAGTTTTTTCTTTCAGGTCTATTTTCAGGACCGTCGAATGAGATGTAACTGCTATGATCACCTTGTCTAATCTCATGCATATCATGGGGCATCAGACCAGGAAAGGTAACTTCTAGTGAGACAGCTGCTTCACCTGTGACGAAGAAGCCAAACCACCTCTGGCAAAGGCTCACGAGTCGCTGCGGCTCTGCAGGATCAGTTCTGCAGAGCTGGAGCGATCTCCTCGGGCTGAACGCGGCACTCGGGCCGCATGCAATCCACCGCTACGAGGCAGAAAAAGGCCTGGAGAATCAGGCTGACCTCCCTTTATATAAAACTAGAGAAAACGCATTAACCTAGAGGTTAGAAATGATGTGGGCTTCCAAATTTCAGTCTGGCCCTGACTCTCAGCTGTGCAGTAGGTGAGCAATGGCATTCAGTAGAGTAGCTATAACACTTCTTACAGCCAGCCTCGTCAGAGGCTGGCATTTCTCGTCCTAACTCTGTTAGAAATACATAAACTGAAATCCTGCCCCATCCATCTACATCCCTTGTCCTGCGTTTAATGCACAGAAGTGGAGGTTAAGCAACCAGACAGACCCACGTGGAATGGATTTTCACTTGACCCTCTTTTCCCACGTACCGTTCTATCTAACAGGGAACCCAAAGATGCTTTCTAGCTTCCAGGAAAGCACAGCATTTAAAGGAAGGAGAGAATAATAAAAAAAATTCCACTCTAACTCCAGGATTTCCTCATGGGAGGGTCTCAGCTGCCTGACATCAGCCTGAACTCCATTTTAACAAGTTGAGCCCCTTCTGTACCCCTTCCCTCCCCACACTACTGCCAACTGTTAGGTCATGTTATCCCACGCAAAAACTGGAAGGGTTAAAATATGATCCGTGACAATTAATAGTATCTATATTTCCACTCTTCTACATTCTTCACGGTCCATATCTTTCTTCAGGGGTTCTCTCCATCTTTCTGTCTCTCTTTTTTGACCATCTTCCACTAATTCTTTTCATTTTTAGTTTGGCCCTATGGTTTATTTTTCTTTGTTCTTTTCTCCCCACCTTACTAACTGCTCTAATGCATATTTGAGATGCCAACAGCACACAAGAGGACTTTTAGAAGAGCGCAGCACAATAAGCAAGCTGCTTATAAAACCCAGCTCCGCACATCGCAGCCGCAGCTGGGGGATACTGAGTGCGTTCAGCAACACGTCTGGGGCTTCAGTGGAAGCTCATCTCCTCAGAAATAATGTGGCCCTGAGGTGACAGTCTCCTTCGTATCACTAATCTCTCCCTGTTTCCCACTCATGCAACTCCAGTCGGCTCCACAGGAATAAAAGGGAGGGGGATAAAAACCAGGAAAAAATGAGAGAAGAGGTGAGAAAATAATAGAGGAAGGCTACAGGGGCCACTTTGCTTGTGTGTTAAAGCTGTTGACTGGAAACGAGGTTTACAGCACAGATTAAAAGCCAGCAATACATTCGGAGTTTGGACTCAGATGCCAGATTTCCACAAACTCAGTTGCAGCAATAACCATAAAGATAAGAGGGAATTTTCTCTGTAACTGCTGCAATATTTCTCAAACACACTCAGCTGAATACGAAATTTTGTATTGTGCTGGGTTTTTTTCCTGATCAGCATATGGCAGTGAGAGCTTCAGACAAGTCACAAAGGGCCGAGTCTGGGAGGATTCAATGAAAGTAGCTTGAGATGTGCTCAGAATAGTTGTGGATTTTAGAAGCAGATATTCTCGGTTTGCTAGCATGATTTTGTAAGAGTTGTGTCACTTCTTTTGTGTGTGTGTGTGTTTATTAACCTCTAGATTTTGGAAACCTTTCTGTACGCTGACAGCAAGTTACACGGAAGTGACAACTACAAAACCACAGCAGTCCCAGTCAGTCCTGTGCCACCCGCAGGATGGCTCTTCCACAGCTTAAAAATATGAATCCAAGAAGTGCCTTAGGCTTCCAGTGAGACTTTGAGGAGCAAGATTTCTTTAGCAGATTGTGTGCTCAGGCCAGGCTGCGCTATCTACCACTAGGTATAAGCGCAGCTCATGAATGCCATGGTCTGGACAGATTCCACGTCAAACCCCCACAATTTGGATTCTTTATGGCGCATCATTTTAATGTAGAACTGAAAGATATAAAATTCTGGATTTGTGTGCGTTTTCTGTAAGTCTTAGAGCATTTTTTACCCCCATAGTATCCGAGCACACACCTGTGTCCCTAACCCTTGACAACCTGGTTCTTGCTCCGTGCAGTAATCCCACAGGATTAAGTCCTACTGTAAATACCAGACAAATTACAATCGGATTAGACGGGCAGTCTGTTCATTTACTCAATACAGCTGCACTCCAGTCTTTTTACCACCGGTGCCTGCTTAAAACACAAATGTTTTGTCCTTGAAGTAAATGAACACAGTTTCTATTCCGCATCTCCCTTGTTTTTCGGTTTGTGACCGACATAGAGCACATTTTTAATTCCCAAGGAGCAAGCGGAATGCTCCTTGAGATGCTGAGAAGAAGGCTGTTCTTGGTAGAGATCTGCAAGGGCAAGATTTATTTCACATTTATCAGTGAAACGTCCCTTGAAAGGTCTGCATTCAATTTCAGCCAAGTGGAATATATGCATGATCTTTCTGGAGGCAGGTATAAGACAGCAGCAGAAACAAGATTTGCAGAATTTTGCCAGATTTGCTGCTGGAATTTCTGTATGTTCCCAACCAGGTATTTCTGTTTACATCGGTGAGTGTGAAACCGCCCAGCTCCCAAAGCTCATCAGGTAGATCTGGTGTAGCGTGGGGTTTACAGAGGATTTCTGCTCACTTATGAATAAGAAGCCTGTTTAATAACTTTCAATATTGTCTGCACTTTGCAAAAATCTCCCTACCAATTCACTGCAATTATTTATAAATGTCACATCACATCCCTTGTAATTGTTCCCAATGACAGGAATTGCCTTGCCTTTCAGCTACAAACTTGCTCCCACCTAGCACACAAATCCGGCGTTACTGTATTTTTATTACTGGGACCACTTGGCAAAACCCTACTGAATCATGTAGCTAAGACCTTCATAAACCAGTATTTATGACTGCAGGCCACCAAAATATTAAAGCCAAATCAAGCAAACACCACACCAGCTCATATTCTCAATATCCTGGTAACCCCGTTCTCACCTCCACCTTCTGATTTCAGCAGCGTCGTTCCCGATTTGCACGGGAGATAAGCGAAACTAAAACTGTCTGAACCTGCCGCGTGTGGGTCGACAGTTTTATGCCCCAGAGTACGAAAAATCAATATTGGCTTAAGATTTTCTTCCCATGCATTTGTCTGCGTGTGGGTAACGCGTTACAGGTCATATTGGTTTTTCGATTGATTCACAGCCCGGCTCCCAGCCAGGCACACCAGCATAGCTGGAAGAGATCCCCGTGGCACCACTCGGAGCGAGAACCACGAAATCATCGGGGCTGGAACAGTTTAGGTGGTTGCCATCGCACACGCCGTGAGCGCTGGCCAAGTTAAGGGAGATCAATGGACCCTTTGCCAAAAAAACAACCGCTTTCTGGTTGTTTTGCCGCAAGCTGCTGGGATAACTGTTATGTCTTTGGATTCATCAGGAGAGGAAGGATGTGGGAAGGTCCCACCTCACAGGGGACCCTTAGAGCTGCAGAAAAGTTAATGAAAACTGACTCCTTTTGTAAGACCAAGCCATGAAGTATACTTCTGCAGTGCAGCACACATACTTCAAAGTCTTAAAATATAACAATATCAAGACTTAAAACAATTTTAACAGCAATCGCTTTTCTTCCCATTACAAGAAATTTATCTAAGGAATCCAGACCTCGGAGGTATTTGATTTCTGCAGGTGTCTGATTTTGTAAAATACAGTGAAAGATACTGTCATACACGGAAGAATATGGGAAAATTACATGAGAACTTACTTTCTGCAGGCTCCTTAGATCTTCTGCCGCTGGAGGACTTCCTCAGGAGACTTCGTCCTGAGGTGAAGAGGCTGGTTAGTTCCTCCAGAGGACTGGTGGGTGTCCGAGAGCGGGAGCCGCTCTGAGATGATGACCCATAGGTGCTGACTGAGGCGTTTACCATCTTTCCTCCTTCTTGCAATGTGTTTCTGGCTGTAGAATGAGGCACTGATGGAGAGCTTCTTGAGAGACTTCCTGAATGTACAGAGTCATAAGGTGGAGGTCTTTTGAGGCTTAGGGGGGTAAGAGACCTACCCATGCTGACGGGAGAAGGTGAGGCAGAGTGACTTTTAGGATAACCGTGTGGAGACTGTGTTCTGTACAAGGTAGAAGGATGAGGAGGTGAGGAGGTGTGCCCGGGGGTGCTAGTTCCATGAGATACTGTCTGGTCTTTCTCCAGTTTTTGATGGCCTGGTGTATGAGGTGGCAGTGAAGATGGAGAAGCTCCAGCTTGCTGTTTGATGTAAGACACATTTTCTAAAACGGGAAGCTTTGTGACCTCCAGTGGAGTTAGAGGAGACTCGTCAGAATTGGGGGAACACTGCACTGGTGCTGGTGGGAACACCAGCAGCGGAGGTCTGTGAGAAAGCAGGTTTGGAAATGGTGGGGGGATATCACAAAGCAAGCCCTTGGGAGTCGATGGCACTGAAGACTTGGTGAAATCGAGGTCAGGCACTGTGGGAGTAGCACACTGAGAAGAACAAGTGTGATGGTCATATTCACATTGACATTTTGAATCTTGGCCTACGTCGTCAAATATCGGGTACTTCATCTCCTCGTAGACTGCTTCGCTTTGGTCGTCCTCGTCTTTTTTGAAGTCTCTGAGAATATTCCCAACCATTTCGATATAAACAGGTTCTTCCTCCTCCGTGTCCGGGGCGGGACTGCTGACCTGCGATAGCGAGGAGTCCCTAGTGAGCGTCGTCTTCGTTGGGCCGTGCTTTTTGATATATGTTTCATCAAAAGATGTGCTTAGCTGAGTGTTTGGATTCCGTTTCGGCTTCGGAGGTGGGATCTTCTTTGTGTATTCATCGCTGTGAGGTCTCGGTTTGGCTGACACTGAAAACAGAGCAAAACATACGTTTGTCAGAAGCACGTAACACGCTTTGCCGAGCGCAGGATCTCTGTCACAGCATCACAACTCTGCAATGGGTTTCCTGGGGCCAGCCCGTTGCTGGTTCTCTCTGGCATTACATCAGCAGAACACTACAAAAATAACCCGCAATTCCAAATACTCCTAATCTTCCCCCGGAAGGCTCTGACACTCCAGTCTGAAGTAGCTGGTGAGGGCTCCTCTTCCTCTGAGACATCTGTTCTCCCCCAAACTCTTTGGGCAGGGGGCTTTCCTTTTTTGAATATTACGCTTTTCAAGTATCGCCGTGGGATTTTAAAGACCCCAAGAGTTGCCAAAGACACAAACCCGAGTATCCAAATGAACTCTTTGGGCTGCAAGAGAACGGGCGGGATCCTGGGCGCTCACACGGGACCAACCGTGCGGTAACTCTGCAGCGACACGGTAATGAATCAAGACCTTTCTATTTGTAGAAAGTCCCTGCACAAAGCACAACATCTCTGCCAGCACTGACTGAGGAAGAAAACACTCACATACAAATACTGTAAAGTTTGCTGTTGGGATAATCCCAATCGTTTGTCTGGGCTCCATCCTGTGAATTAACGAGACTTCAGTGAAGTCAAGGGGGAACCACGTATCTCACAGCTTCAGATCCTTCCCACGCAGGCTACTTCTAAAGACAACAGACCATTTTGTCTTTGAAATTATAAATCAAAACACTGCGATGAAATTCGTTTGAAATGAGAGGCCAAGGGTTTCTTAGAAATTATCCTTTATGAGTTAAACAATAAAGAAACTCATAGAAATTGCATTTTGTTCACTTTGCATAAATAGTTAACAAAACACCTCATTAAACTCACTGGAGTTAACACAATGCCTCACTAAACGTTTGGGTGAAGTCATTTTTTTATCCTAGGTGGACTCAACAAACCAATTCAGAACAAAATTTACCACATGCACCATGCTAAGAAATCCTGCCAGAATTAAAAAAAAAAAAAAAAGGAATAAAAATAATTATATTATGCTTATGGTTCCAACTAACATGTTCCACCGTGCAGCAGGCTAGGGACGTGCAAAAGCTACCACAGATAAGACTATTTGGTAGCTCGATAGTTTTTCACGATGTGGATATATCCGAATGCACTTTAAGTTTGTCTTTTTAATTAACCCAAATTAATTTTCTTGAATGTATTAGGAGAGACTTTGGGAAATGAGATGTAGGCTACTAGAATCATTTGGGCTTTGCAGAAAATATTACTCCTGGTGTATCTGACAATGCCAGCAGACTTTTCTCGCTGTGCTTCCAGCTAAATCACCTCTTCTTCCCTGGTTAGTCTGTTATTTGCACATTATATTCACTCACCGACACAGACCTGAACTCAGCCCTTTCTCCTTCCATTTCCACAGCTTTTATCCAACTGATGAGGTTCTGCCACGCGGCCGAGACCTGTGCTTTGGTGTTGGGGATTGCATATAGAGCACTCATGAGTTATTACATTGCCGACAAGGAAATGAGAAACGTCACGGAAAAATGATCGACATTCTGCCATCTAGTCTTGTAAAGTTATTTTTGCATGGGTTGAAATTCAGTGCTGCCGTGACACACGCAGCATTCTCATCTGCCGTTGCGTGATATGTAGCATCAGCCTAAAATATCGTGGTGACATTATCAACAAAAAGGTCAAATGGCCCAGCCTTGCTGTATGAGACGCAGGGTAAAACGAGACAAGGTGAAGGATTTACTTTCCACTTTATATTAAAAAGCGTTTTTTCCCTCTGCCATGTTTATTATATTAAAGCATCTATTTCCAGGAGGTGGTGTGTGATGTATTTAACAAAGCTTTCTACGCTGAAGCACAGCTCCACAGCAAGGGCTGGGCTCCGCAGCGCACCCGGTAACAGAACATGGATCACGAGCCACCGCTCCGGCCCAGAATAACAGAGAAAAACCACAACAAAACCAGGATCCCGTAAGCAAACAGAGCTGTGCAGAGCTTCTGGAAGGAGCAGGGAGTATTTGTACAGTTCCTGTGCTACCAACATTTGGCAGAGATAAATATGCATGAGCGCAGAAGCCCTGGCAAGATCCCACAGCCAATGAAAGGAGATGGTTTGGCAACCTCCAGAGAGGAGCAGGCAAGATTGCTTTAAGTACTTGACATTTATCGGGCAGAAAAAGCATTCGGTGCCTGCTGGGAACACGAACTCCTACGAAAAAGCAAACCATGCTGACACACTGGTGATACGCATGCTGCCGCACCGCCTGCTCTGAGCACGGAGTAATTAAAGGGGTTTTCAACGTGGGTTGGTTCCACGTCGGAACCGCACAAACGACCCTGAGCTGGTAAAATTCCAGTGATCCTGGAAAACAAAACCTCAACTTCGCGGAGTTCGCTCTGCTTGGGCAGGGACTCTCCGTGTTTCATAGTGCCCTGCCACCGAGCCATTCTCTTGCTCTAACAAACTGCAAGTGGAACAAAACACACGGGCTGCGGTAAGTTCACTTCTCATCCAGAAGCCAGGAGCGCAGTGCTTGAAACAAAAGCCTTCCGGGAGCCGCACTGAATAAGCAGAAAATGACATTTCTGAAACGAGATATTTGTAGCACAAAGGTTACGCATTGCTTTCAGACATGCCCGGATAATCCGTCTTTCATAGTTAATTTTTGGGAATACAGGATGCTTCTGGCCATCTTATCCTTCTGGAGTATTTTTTTTTTTTACTCCTTAAGGAGAGACTGAGATATGAAAACGCGCTATGAGATTGGGGTTTATTATTTGCTCAGTTTATAAGTAATAAATGAAACCATCTAAAAACTAAAATTAATTTTGCCATCTTCTACTGTCCTTTGGGTTTTTACCAGCTTTTACAGTTCAGAAACCAAGCTGATTTATTGTGCTGTTCACTGTAACAAACAGAATAAAAATACACGTAATGGGAAAGTTCCTCCCTTTCAATCTCGACAAGGGGTTCCAGCATTCAATTTCTTCATAAATTGAAGGAATGAGCTGGGGCCTAAAATTTTTAAAAATTCTTTAAAATGTTACTTTAAATGCAGAAGGAATTAATCTTGCTGTATCTTGAGGGGTGTCTCTATCAAAAAGAGCCTCCGGGAGTGAAAGGCAATAGAATTTATTTAATTAAACCCCGAATGTTCTGGATACTGAATCAAAGATACATGGATCCTGATTTACATCACATAATTCGACAGAGGAAATCCAGCTCTAGGGTAGCATGGAACCTACATATATATATGTGTGCGAGTGTGCAAATTCAAGGCTACGAGTAACCCCGCTGGCTCTAATGAACTGAACTGCTGGCTCGGAGCCGCACGCCATCTGAAGTGCGCTTGTGCGCCGGTGCTTATAGGGGGCTGGATTTCATTATCTCTGGAGATGAAGTTTGACTATTCTTAGCGAAACTGAATTTTAAAAAGGCACAGCCCTCTGAACTGTGCAAAAGATCGGCACCCGGGAGACCCGAATTTAATTCATTGCTTTGTCATGGGCCACAGAGCCTTGCCCGCCGTTTTGCCCCCTGGTGCCGCTTTTCACCATCCACGTGCCACCAGGGGTTTGACACGAGGCTTTTATTTTAATTTATCTGTTGATATCCATCCCTGCACAGGGGTTCTCATCGTTGGAAAGCAGCATCAGAAAGCAAAAGCAAATTTAAATGTATCTACTGGAGACGTGCAGCACTGAACGTGCATCTTTGCTTCTCCAAGGCATCTCTGAAGGTAGATTTTCCTACAGACATAAAAGACACACACAAAGGTGCATCTTAGCAAACTGCTATAGAAACATCATGACTAGGTCGAAGTACATCAGAGAACATACCTCTGTCAGGAAAAAAACCCCAAATTTAAAATAGGATTGTTCTCACGGCCGCAAGTCCTTTCCCCGTGGGTTACCTTCTCCTTTTCTAAAAGCTGCTGAGAGGAAAAAGCAAAGGGGGAAAGAACACAGAAGGAGTAAAAGAACCACCTGATTCATTCCGAGAGCCTTGCAAGCAATAGGTGGTTCCAGCGCAAGGATTTCATACAGCACATATTTCTTCCCCCTCCTGAACCTCTTAGCTCTTACTGGAAATTATTTGGGCATTTAAAGCGGAAAAAACTATGTTGAAAATGAAGGGATTAAAAGACGATGTCATAAAATAATATGGAGGTGCTACTCAGATGCCTGAAGGCTGCGATCAAGGAGGCTTCTTCAGACACATTCAGGTCCCTTTATTTTGGCTATAACTTCTTTCAGCTTTTAAACCAATTGATTTCTGCTCTAATTCAAAGTGGTGGAAACCTAGTGGCTTCGGTACCAATATTTCAGAATTAAACACTGGTATAACAGAGACTAGAATTGGGCCCCGCAGTTAAATTCTGTACAAGTACTGCGACGCATCGGCACCGTGGCTGAGGACACGCTGCCCCCAGATCCCGCTTCGGGCAGCTGCACAGATATATGTTATTTTTTCCAGATAACGCTCAACAGGCAGGGAAATAAAAGAAAAGAGAGCGTTTGAGAAATAATTACAAATTGTTTGCAATCAAGCTTTTCTGTGCTACTCACTGAAGGTAGATGTTATTGTCAGCACAGCTCTGGAAAGGCAGAAAAAAGCATGATTTTGGATAAATGAGAAAAGTCAATGCTACTGAGCTGAGGGAGACGATGGGGGAAACCACTTGCTGGATTTTCATAAACTGCTTGGAGAAGGTACGGTACAGAGGCTTTCTGAGCCAGCACTGAGAGACGCCAAACAGAAGTGAACTCTGCAAGAGCTCCTGGCTCTGGGTAACTTCTAAATGCAGCACCTGCACCTTAACGGTGGGGTCTGAAACGACTTGCAGAGAAAACGGGAAAGAACGAAATCAAGCTAGAGAAAGAGCAAATAACAAAACAGTCAGTTTAGCTCACTGACTTCATTTATCTTGAAAAAAAGTCTGTATCTGCTCACTGGATTTAATTGTTGCTTTGGCTCACCAGAATCC